AGAAAAAAAGGGTATATCAGCAACAGTTCTGCAAATGGCAGGACTCCATGTTGCCATCATGTGAGCATCCAGTGCCAACTTTGCAACCTTATATCTCAGTAAGTACTGGCCCAAAAAATTTTTTTGGTCTTATTATACATAAAAAATTGCCCTCTTTGTTTTCAAAAAAAAAAAAAAAATCAAAATATTCGGAGCGCTGGCAGTGAAAACTCAGATCAATGTTTGGACATTTAAACAACCATCATGACATCGTGCATCCCTGTCTAAGATATACTTTTATTGGAAAATAATGTCCCTCTCTCCTACATACCCTAACATGAGCCTTACTATCCTTGTAAAAGCTCTGAACTGCTTTCAGCAACCTGACACCTGTTCCATAAACTTGCAACATTGCCCCCCTATCTACCTTATCATATACCTTTTCCAAATCCATAAATACAACAAAGACCATATCTAAATACTGTTTACTTATATGCATCACTGTAAACACTTTGTCTACACATCCCCTATTTCCTAAAGGCATGCTCTTCTGCCAATCCCTAGGTACCTTACCCTCACTCATACATTTATTAATGTATTTATAGATAGGGTTGTAAAAGAAGTGAATGCAGGGGTGTTGGGGAGAGGTGTGGGATTGCAAGATAAAGAATCTAGCACAAAGTGGGAGTTGTCATGGTTGTTTTTTTGCTGATATCACTGTGCTTTTGGGAGATATTGTAGAAAAGTTATAAAGGTTGATGGATGAATTTGGAAGGATATGTAAAAGAAGGAAATTAAAAGTGAACATTGGGAAGAGCAAGGTGATGAGGATAACAAAAAATTTAGGTAATGAAAGATTGGATATCAGATTGGAGGGAGGGAGTATGGAGGAAGTGAATGTAAAGCCTCTTCTCACTTAGCAACATACTCGTTTACCAACGACTCAGACATACAGTGGGCTCTCTGATTGGTATGCATACCTAAATAATGTATTTAGAGGTGATTTCCTCTCTTCTGTTTATTACAATATGCAGTACACTACTGTATAAACATTTAAAAATATACCAGGAATGTTATAAATGGTGCAGAGATGACATTACATCCACTACCATTATAGTATGCTCCTCACTTAGCGACAAACTCATTTTCCGACATGGTCTTAGGAAAGGAACTCGGGCTGAGGAGAGGCTGTATTTAGATATTTAGGAGTGGACTTGTTAGCAGATGAGTCTATGAAAGATAAAGTGAATCATAGAATTGATGATGGGGAAAAGGTGAGGGATGCATTGGGGTATCCGTGGAGACAAAGAATGTTGTCTCTGGAAGCAAAGAAGGAAATGTATGAGAGTATAGTTATACCAATGCTCTTATATAGGTGTGAAGCATGGGTGATGATTGTTGCAACAAGGAAGAGGTTGGAGGCAGTGGAGATGTCATGTCTGAGGGCAATATGTGGTGTGAATATAATGCAGAGAATTTGTAGCTTAGAGATAAGAAGGAGCCGAGTAATTAAAAGTATTATATAGAGGGCTGAAGAGGGGTTGTTGAGGTGGTTTGGACATTTAGAGAAGATGGGACAAAATAAGATGACTTGGAGGGTGCATAAATCTGTAACAGAGGGAAGGAGAGGTAGGAGTTATCCTTGGAAAGGATGGAGGGAGGGGGTAAAAGAGGTTTTGTGTGTGAGGGGCTTAGGCAACCAGCAAGCATGTGTGAGTGTATTAGATAGGAGTGAGTGGAGGCTAGTGGTTTTTATAACTTGACGTGCTGTTGGATTGTTAATCAAGTAACATTTATGAAGGGATTCAGGGAAACCAGTTAGCCAGACTGGAGTCCTGGAGGTGGGAAGTACAGTGCCTGCACTCTAAGTGACGGGTGGGGATATTTGTAGTTTTGAACTGTAGTATCAGTGCCCATCTGGTAAGACGGTGATGGAGTGAGTGATGGTGAAAGCATTTCTTCTATTTTTGAGCTACCCTGTTTTGGTAGGAAATGGTTGGTGTGTTAAAAAAATATTTCTAATTACTAATTTAATTTTTTTACATCAGAGCTTATGTTATGGCATACATATTACATGTATATACAAGAGGCTTCACAAAAGCCATTATTCTCTTCCATTATCCGTAGTCATTAATTATACGAACAATACTCAGGAAAAAATAGAAAATCAGATGTGTTAGCCCTGTATGTCTTTTAGTGGAATAATGAACAGTTCTAAGTAAATTTTAAAACTAACACTGAAAAAACATACAGTATATAGTACAGTGCAGACAATTGATTTTCATGATAACTTGCTGATGGAGTGTAAACAAGGTAACATTTATGAGGGATTCAAAGACACCAGTTAACTGAACTTGAGTCCTGGAGGTGGGAAATACAGTGGTCCCTCGCTTATTGTCGTTAATCCGTTCCTGGAAGTGCGACGATTATTGAAATAGACGATTTTCGAATCAATTTTCCCCATAAGAAATAATGTAAATACAATTAATCCGTTCCTGACACCCAGCAGTATTAAAATAAAAAAAATTTTTACATGAAATATAGATGTAGTACATAAACAGTACAATGGGACATGATGAATGAAACATTAACAGCATAACATTTAACTTTATTGGCAATTCTTCTTAGTGTATGGAAGACTGGAGGAGGAGAGAGATTGGATTAGTTACTGTTTGGAAGGGGAATCTCCTTCCATCAGCACCTCAGGTACCAAGTCCTTTTCTAGGGTTACTTCTCTTCTCTGTTTCCTAATGCAACTAGGACCAGCTTGAAAGTCACTGGAGTCCTGTTGCAAAAAAAGTGACCAGAGAGCTCTGTTTCTGGTGTCTCTTTAAAACTTCCCTAAAATGGGCCAAGACTCTGTCACTGTACAAGTTGCTGATATGGCTTGCAACATCCTTCTCAGGGTAATATTTCTCCATAAATCTTTCCATCCTACCCCACATTTCAAAAATCTCCTTAATTTCTGAAGAAGGCACCTTCTTCCATCTCTCTCTTCCTCCTCCTCTGCAGCAAGATTCTGAGCTGTGATCTGTTGCTCTTCCTGCTGAAGCTCTTGCAGCTCCACAGTGGTTAGCTCTTTGTTGTGCTCCTCCACCAACTCTTCCACATCCTCCAAACTCACATCCAACCCCATGGAACTCCCCAATGCCACAATAGAGTTCGCAACTGACATAGGCTCATCAGGGTCAGCCACAAACCCTTCAAAACCCCTCTTGTGGACACAATCTGGCCACAAATTTCTCCAGGCAGAGTTCAAAGTCCTGGTAGTCACTCCATCCCAAGCCTTACCTATAAGGCTTATGCAATGGAGGATACTGAAGTGTTCTTTCCAAAAATCTCTTAGGGTCAAGTGAGTGTCTGAGGTCACATTAAAGTACCTTTGAAACATTGCTTTGTTGTAGAGTTTTTTAAAGTTTGAAATGACCTGCTGGTCCATGGGCTGGATGAGAGGAGTGGTATTTGGGGACAAGAACTTTAAAGTGATGAACCCAAACTCCTGCAGAATTAGGTCATCCAAGTTTGGAGGATGAGCAGGTGCATTGTCCATTACTAGGAGGCACTTGAGATCCAATTTCTTTTCCAGGAGGTAATTCTTCACACTAGGGCCAAACACTTCATTGAACCACTCGACGAAAATTTCCCTCGTGACCCATGCCTTATTATTAGATCTCCAAAACACACACAATTTACTCTTCATAACATTGTTTTTCCTGAACACTCTGGGATTTTCAGAATGGTACACTAGTAATGGCTTCACTTTGAAATCCCCACTAGCATTAGCACAGAACATGAGCATCAGCTAGTCTTTCATAGGCTTGTGTCCTGGCAGTCCCTTTTCCTCTGGAGTAATGTAGGTTCTCTTTGTCATTTTCTTCCAAAAGAGGCCTGTTTCGTCACAATTGAACACTTGTTCAGGTTTTATGTACTCCTTGAATTCAGTTATGAATTTTGTAGCTGCAATTTTGTCCAAACTGACAGCCTCACCATGCCTTATCACACTGTGTATGCCACTACGGTTCTTAAATCTCTCAAAACAACCTTTGCTGGCCTTAAATTCACAAATATCAGTACTTGTTGCAGGCAATTTCTTTACCAGATCGACATGCAGCTGCCTAGCCTTTTCACAAATAATCGACGTCATAAGACTATCTCCTGCAAATTGTTTCTCATTTATCCACACCAATAATAACTTCTCAACATCTTCGAGTACTGGTGATCTCATTTTTGTCAGCATATTTACCCCCTTTGCAACAACAGCTTCCTTGATTTCCTTTTTCTTGGCCACGATGGAAGATATGGTTGTATGGGTTTTTTTATACTTCCTGGCCAGTTCGGCCATACGTACGTCACTTTCACATTGTTCAGTGATGTTTTTCTTAAATCCAATCGTATTTCTCACCTTCTTTACCAAAGGCTCGGCACTAGGAGCTTTCTTTGGAGCCATGGTAGCTTATTTAGCACTTGCAAGCACTAAAATGAATGGAATATTATGAAATATTTTGTATGAACAAGTGAGGGGACCATAGCTCACTGGTAAACAATGGCACACTGGCTGGGAAGGCAGGCCGAGGTGGCTGAGAGCCGTGAATACGCGTCCAGGACGAACAACGATTAGCGAGTCAACTGACCATTTGCGAACCAATGTTTGGACAAATATAACGCAATGATTTCCGAAAAGGACGACTATCGAGCCCGATGATTATCGACGGACCACTGTACAGTAATGCACTCTGAAGGAAGGGTAAGGATGTTGCTGGTCAGAGGGTCATTTGCATTATGTCTGTGCACTTCTGGCAAGGCAACTATGTAAAAGATAAAAGTGAATGTGTTTACTTGTATTTGGGTTCACCTTACTTCAGTAGCAGATGGCTAGTGTGTAGAAATTTATTTAATGCCTGACAAATTCCATGTCTTTTTAAGTGCACCTAATTAAGACAGTAATTTTATGATCTTTTATTTGTCATTTAATTCTAATGCTCATTAATCATATTTCCTGAGTAAACCTATAATAAATATGTTTTACAGGTTGTACAGCACTGCACGTTCTGGCTGAGAAGGCAAACATTAGTGAACGCAATACATGTTGGGACGGTAAGGCTGTGAGTGTGAAGGAAGCCTGGGTCAACTTGGCCAGCTTGATCATGTCACTGGGCTGTGATCCCAGGTTACCCAACCACCACAACAGGTACCCTCACCAGGTTGCTCGTGACGCTGGTAACGCACACCTGGCCAACCAGCTTGCCAAGGTCATACACACCTATCATTGTTTACCTCTTGTATTCTTTTGCATAATCCAAATATATGTAATTTTTGTAGCAACGTAAAATAATACATGAATTAGAGTTGTGAAATACTTGTGTTTAAGTTGCCCAGTGTTCTTGAGGTTTGTGTTTTGTGAGAAGCTTGTGCATGTTAAATTTGCAGATACAGAACTCTACCTAACTTAGACTTAATGTACAACAAAGATTCACTCCACACTTTAGTGACCCCATATTCATACATTCTAATATAAAAATTTTACTCTCGTTTAAAGCATCTTTAGCCCAGTACAAAATTGCATTTTAATTTTATTTTTGTTATTTTTGTTATTTTTGTGCTTTTATCATTACTATATTTCCATTATCATTATTTAATTAACACATTGGCCATCACATACCCTGGCTGGCTTTCTGGAGGAGCAAGGATGTCACAGTTCCAATGATGCTCTGAGCTGCAACCTACTTCAGTGTGCAGTACTCTACACTCATACCTCTAGAACTGCAGCCTCCTCCATTGTGCAGTACTTTACACCCCAATCTCTAGAACTGTAACTTTCAGAGTATAGCACTCTACTTTTCACCTCTAGTACTGCAATCTCTTTCAGAGTGCAGCACTCTACTTCCCATCTATACAACTGGCTAACTAGTTTCCCCAAATCTCATTATAAGTGTTGTTAATACTATTATGATGGTTATATTTTAACCTCAGTGGCCATGTACTGCCAAGGCATTGTGTCCCAAAGATGAAAACACTTTCACCATCATTCATTCTCCCTATTTTTCCAGGTGTGTTAACATCACAATCTTGACTGCACTGGGCTGGTGGGGGTGGTGGTGGTGGTGGTGGTGGTGGTGGTGGTGGTGGTGGTGGTAGTAGTAGTGGTAGCAGTAGTAATAGTGGTGGTAGCAGCAGTGTTGGTGGTCGTAGTGGCTGCAGTGATATTGGGATACTGGCTGCTTGGAGTGACATCTAAACTGTCATATCTGGGCACCTCTGCAAAGACAGTGATTATGTGTGAATGATGGTTAAAGTGTTTCTTTCTTTTTTGGGTCACCCTGCCTCAGTGGGAGATGGCCGGCATGTTGAAAAAAAAATAGTAATGCAGCTTTTCCACAGGGAAGTAGAAAAGAATTCGTCCACCATAAGCCATGTGTGTCGAAAGAGGTGACTAAAATGCTGGGAGCAAGGGGCTAGTAACCCCTTCTGTATAAATTATTAAGTTTAAAAAGAAAAGCTTTTGCTTTTCTTTTGACTTAAAAAGAAAAATTTAGTTTTTCTGAAAAGAAAAACTTTTGTTTTTCTTTTTAGGTCATCCTGCCTCAGTGGAATATGGCCAATTCGTTGAGCAAAAAATGCAGCTGTAAGATGTTCCCCTAGATCTCTCTTCCAACAATATTACCATCCCTCAGCACCTCCTGGCTTCATATTTGTTCTGGGCACCTTCAGCATCATTAGTATTCCTCTTGTGTGTGATGGTAAACATTAAGAGATGAGACAGGGTGATGAAAATATCCAAGTTATTTGATAAACATAGTGTGTGAAATGTTAGCAATGTTGGCAGAAAGCAAGCAGATGGTGTGGGTGTTAATGAGGGAGGAAAAGAACTGTACCTCTAAAGACATTCTCCACCCCTAGTCTCAGCTGCCTTAACTTGGATTAGAGGGGAAACATTCCATGCATTGTAGTTCAGGCATACTACCTGGAGTCTACCTGGAGGGCATTCCGGGGATCAATGCCCCCTCGGCCTGGTCCATGACCAGGCCTCCTGGTGGATCAGGGCCTGATCAATGAGGCTGTTACTACTGGCCACACATAGTCCAATGTACGAGCCACAGCCCAGCTTATCTGGCACTGACTTTAGGTATCTGTCCAGCTCCCCCTTGAAGACAACCAGGGGTCTGTTGGTAATTCCCCTTATGGCTGGTGGGAGGCTGTTGAACAGTCTTGGGCCCCAGTCACTTTTTTGTGTTTTCTCTTAGTGTACCAGTGGTGTTCCTACTTTTCACTGGGGGTATGTTACATCACCTGTCAAGTCTTTTGCTTTCATAGGGAGTGATTTCTGTGTGCAGGTTAGGGACCAGTCCTTCCAGATTCTTCCAGGTGTAGATTATGATATATCTCTCTTGCCTTCACTCCAGTAAGTACAAGTCACGTGCTTCCAGGTGTTCCCAGTAGTTAAGGTGTTTGATGGAACTTATATGTGCAGTGAAGGTTCTCTGTACATTCTGTAAGATCTGCAATTTCACCTGCCTTGAATGGAGATGTTAACCCTTGAACTGTTTTGGTCGTATATATACGTCTTACGAGCCACTGTTTTTGACATACATATGCTCATAAATTCTGGCGGCTTCAAATCAGGCAGGAGAAAGCTGGTAGGCCCACATGTGAAAGAATGGGTCTGTGTGGTCAGTGTGCACCACATAAAAAAAATCCTGCAGCACACAGCGCATAATAAGAAAAAAAAACTCCAACCATTTTTTTTTAATTAAAATGCTTATTTTGTGGTCTATTTTCGTATAGTATTTATGATTGTATTCTCGTTTTCTTGTTCTCATTTGATAGAATGGAAAACGTACTATAGAATTAGAGGTGATTTTGATTGGTTTCACTATGAAAAGAACCTTGAAATGGAGCTCAAATTAGGGGAAATGTTTGATTTTTGCTAATGTTCAAAAGTAAACAAATGATGTCATTTTCCAATAAATATCCAAGTAGCAATTCTAATATGCAGTCATGAATGGGTTGACACTATTTATACAATTATTACAATATTGAAGTAGTCTGTATAACAGTAAATCTTCTATTTTTTGTTTGAATAAAAATTCAAAATAGAAAGCAAGGGTAATATCAGAGGGGCCTGAAGACATGACTAATGAAAAAAGAAAATGTTATTTTCGACCCAGGAATGTCTGTTTTGTTCATTCTGGACCCTATTTTGAAATTGTCACATTTTTTAATTTTCATGAAATTGGCTAAATTGCAAATTTCTGACCACATTATTAAGTAGTTGAAATTGGTAAATGGGTAGTTTCTTGTACTCAATCGATAGAAAAAATGGAGCTCTTGAGTTTGGTTGACTGGAACAATGGAATTAGCCGAAAATTGGGCTCAAAGTGGGCAAAATAACTGATTCATAAATATCAGCGAGGTCGCTAACTTCGCGAGAGCATAAGTCCATCAGTTTTCCACCAAATTTCATTCTTTTGATGTCATTACAATCGGGAAAAGATTCTTTATCATTTCATAAGAAAAAATAATTGGGGGGGGGTGTAAAATTTGGCGACACCAGGAGACGCCTCAGGATTTGGGGTTGCGACAGTCAAGAGGTTAATGATTATTATTACATATTATTATTACAGTAATACATATGTACTAATATTAATAGTAATAATATTATTATTAAACTATAATATAGTGTTTACTCATTACTTACCTTAATCCTTTGACTGTCGCAAGCCCCTTTCTGAAACTGTCATTCTATGTCGAAAAATTTTTGGAAAAAAAATTACTTTTTTTCTTATGAAATGATAGAGAATCTTTTCCCGATGGTAATGACACCAAAAGTACAAAATTTGGTTGAAAACTCACGGAATTACACTCCTGCGAATTTAGCGATCTTGGTGATATATACGTATCGTCGATGTTGCCGACTTTGAGTCCTATTTTTGGCAAATTCCATCGTTCCAGTCGACCAAACTCATAACTATTTTTTTAGAACTCCATTTTTACTATCAATTGAGTGCAAGAAACCACCCATTTACCAATTTGAACTACCCAATAAAGTGGTCAGAAATTGGCAATTTGGCCAATTTCACTCAAATAAAAAAAGATGTCAATTTCAAAATAGTGTCGAGAATAAACAATGCAGATATTCTTGGCACTAAAGTAACATATCCTCTGTTCATTAGTCATGTCTCCAGGCCCCTCTTGTATTACTCTTCCTTTCTATTTTGACTTTTTATTCACACAAAAAATAGAAGATTTACTGTTATGCAGACTACTGCATTATTGTAAAAGTGGTATAAATAATATCAGTGCACTAGTGAAAGAATATTAGACTCCTCAGTTGACGTGTATTGATGTGTAGTGTGATTTGCTTACTCTTCAACATTGGTAAAAATCGAACATTTCCGCTACTTTGAGCTCAATTTCAAGGTTGTTTTCATTGTGAAACTAATCAAAATCATCTCTATTTCTGTAATATGTGTTCCATTGTATCAAATGAGACCAAGAAAACGAGAATACAACCATAAATACTATAGGAAAAAACACCTCAAAATCAGCATTTTAATCCAAAACACGGAGTTTTTTTTTCCTCATTATGCACTGTGTGCTGCAGGATTTTTTTATGTGGTGCACACTGACCACACAGACCCATTTTCTCACATGTGGGCTTACCAGCTTTCTCCTGCTTGATTTGAAGCCGCTAGAATTTATGCGTATTAACAAGTCCTAAACACTGGCTCGTAAGACGTATATATATGACCAAAACAGTCAAAGGGTTAAAATATTTGTAGTCTTAATGTAGAGTGAGAGGTGAGGAAACAAGATTAAATGAATAAACAAGAGAGAGAATGAGAGGGTAGAAGGTTCGCGAGTTTTGTAAACCAACTAGTTGTTGTTGTTTTTGACTTCCACAAAATCCCATTTTTTTATTTTACGTTTTTTATACTTTTTTCTTTTCTTTTCTAATTTTTTTCTTTTTCTAGTAACATTTGTGGCCTGTGAGACCAATATAATGTATATTGTATAAGTGTACACTCATTGTATTCAACACAATAACTGCACTAATTTGTTTATCATTATATTGCTTACAAAACTTGTTTACAAGTTTATTGTAAACAAAATGATGAAAACATTAGTGCAGTTATTGTGTTGAACACAATGGTACCATATAGTACTATATGGTACAATGGTGCCATAGGGTGCAATTGTACCATATGGTACAATGGCACCATATGATACAATGGTACCATATGGTACAATA